TGGAGGTGGGAGGGCTTTGCCCTCTCCGGACACGAGGAACCCTGCTCGAACTCACCACTCAAGGAGAGGAACACGACCAGCAAGCCGAAGCTCACGAAGATGAATCGCCCCATGGTCTTCTTTCCTTCCCTGCAGAGAGAACTGGGGGGGGGGGAAGGGAGGAAAGGGGGGGGAAGAGGGGGTGAAGTCCAACCTGGGGCCAAGCTGGGAGTCCCACACTTTGCGTTGCACTTTTTCACTTGCCCAGCTGGACCCCGTTTCTCCCTCCTCGGTCTTGCAATAGCTTTAATGGGTGTCCTGCACTGCTATATCCTGGTTGGGGGGAGTTCCTAAGAAAGGCTGTCCTATGGGTCTCTTTCTCTCTCCCCCAGAGATCCCCTGCTAAGATCCCTTAGTCCTTGCCTCCCAGATCCCCTTCTGAAACAGAAGCATTGCCGGCAGCCCCCTGCAAGTGGTCCCTTCGGGTGGAGACAGACAGGTGCAGGAGCGATCTGCTGCAGGGGCCTCACCTGTCCGGTGCCCACAGGTGGGAGAGCCGCACTCACCTGTCCCTCGGCCTCCACAGGTAGCAAGTCTGCTCAGAGGCAACTCCAGGCTTTCCTCCTGCGAGAGGAACGGAGGCATTTATAGGCAAGGCAAGTGGAGGGGGGAGGTTTCTGTTGGGGGGGGGGAATGAGAGAAATTGCTTTGCGTGAGAAGAGATTTTTGGTCTAACTACCAGGATGTGGCTTGTTTGCACATAAGAATTTTAATCTCACAGGATTTGCCTTCTGCCAGGTCACCTCTTAGAGACAGAATCCTGCAATTTGAGGTCATCCAGTCCAGCCCCAACTCAGTGCTGCAATCCAAAGAACCCCGGATACGTGGCTGATTGGCCCCCACCCCCTTGAGGGTGTCCAGACAAGGGGATCCCCCTCCCACCTCCTCAGGGTCTGGGGGCTGCTGTTGACAGGCTGGCTTTCCCTTTTTCTGAGCGAGGTTTTTCTAACGTCCCTTCAGAACCTGCAGGAATGAACAGCTCCCAGCATCCTCCCAATGGAGGGCATCGCTGCGTTCCCACAATATGCCAGGATCTAAACGCAGGTTAAGAAACGGGAACTGCTGCCCCGTTCACACAATCTGCTGAACGAATGGCTGAGTTTTGCAGAAGCGCTGAAGCACAAAGCAGCCAACTCTGTTTTAATGTAGATTTATCTGTAAAATCACCTCTCCTTATCTGAATCATTTTTTCTATCACCCTTTAATTTGGGACTGAGGGACCCCCACCCTTTCTGGATTTGTATTGTGCAAGCTGAACCCCCCCCCCCCATCCCAGCTTCCTGTGCATGGCACACTAAGCCACAGGAGAACTGGCCAAGCATTGTGGGTTGCGTTAAAAAGAGGCAGAGATATTTCTCAGAGCGGATCAACGTGTTGTCTGAATCTAGTTGAGTTTTTTTCTGGTGTGAGAATCTCAGCATGGCCACTTCCCAGGGTGTAACTGGGGGAACAGCTAATTTCATTCATTTATTTCTTCCCTTTTTAAGGTGTCCGATGTTTGAAGCTGGTCCTTCAAGCCTCCAAGAGAAAGAGCATCACAAAGCATCGACACACAGTGCCACAAGCCAACAGTTGTCATCTTCCCTTTGGGAAGAAAAACAGGAAGAAAAGGAGAAGGAACAAGGAAGCAGATTCTTTAAGCAATCCAAAGCTGGTTCCATCATCAAATGTCATTTATGGGAATTATCAGCTCAAAACTTTGCTCAACCCACATTGCAAAATGTTTTACATAAACCCGTATTATATTTATGCACTTTGCAATCCAATTTACGCACCTGCCAACATAAGAACATTCATTTTATTTCTGTTTTGCAACCGCCCAGCCCAAAAGGGGTAGAACAATATACAAACAATTCCAACTGAACAATTTAAGTTTGGTATGTGGGACCAGCTCTTTGTTTGTTGCTGGTTTGTTTTTATCACACCTTTATTAGTTTTATAAATAACTCAAGATGGTGATGCCCCCTCCTTCTCTTCTTTACTCTCAATAAGGTGGGCTGGGCTGAGTCACTGGCCCAAATTCAACCAGCTAGCTTTCATGTGCAAGGAGGGACTAGAACTTTCTCCTGGTGAGTAGCCCAAAGACACCCGATTGGTTTTCATGTCCAAAATGGAACTAGAACTCACCGTCTCCTGGTGACTGGCCCAAAATCACCCAGCCAATTACCATGCTAAGATGGAACTAGAACTCACCGTCTCCTGGTGACTGGCCCAAAATCACCCAGCCAATTACCATGCTAAGCTGGAACTAGAACTCACTGTTTCCTGGTGACTGGCCCAAAATCACCCAGCCAATTACCCTGCTGAACTGGAACTAGAACTCACTGTTTCCTGGTGACTGGCCCAAAATCACCCAGCCAATTACCATGCTAAGCTGGAACTAGAACTCACCGTCTCCTGGTGACTGGCCCAAAATCACCCAGCCAATTACCCTGCTGAACTGGAACTAGAACTCACTGTTTCCTGGTGACTGGCCCAAAATCACCCAGCCAATTACCACGCTAAGCTGGAACTAGAACTCACCATCTCCTGGTGACTGGTCCAAAATCACCAGCCAATTACCATGCTAAGGTGAAACTAGAACTCACTGTCTCCTGGTGACTGGCCCAAAATCACCAGCCAATTATCCTGCTGAGCTGGAACTAGAACTCACTGTTTCCTGGTGACTGGCCCAAAATCACCAGCTAATTACCATGCTAAGGTGGAACTAGAACTCACCGTCTCCTGGTGACTGGCCCAAAGTCACCCAGCCAATAGCCATGCTAAAGTGGAACTAGAATTCACTGTCTCCGAGTGACTGGCCAAAGTCATACAGCTGGCTAGTTTCCATGCTTAATTTGGGAAACTAAAACTAGAACTCACATTCTCCTGGTTTCTAGCCTACCTACTTGGTTCTCCACATCCACCCCCAACCCAAAGGGAGGAGGAGAAGAAGGAAGAGAAGGGGAAGAACTACGGGGTCCTTGTTGCTCTCCGAGTTCGGTGGTTTCGCTTGTCCCCATTTTCTGGATAGCCAAGTAGAGAGAGGAACCAACCGACACTGTATTGGGCAAATTGAGACAAGATTGTTGGGACTCCCCTATTTCTGTCTTCCCCATCTGGTTCCACCTAGTAGTTCTGAGCACGGGTGGATATTTGCTCCGCTGTGCAAACACGAAGTCCATGAATGGACGGATAGATTTGTCTGCTTGATTCGGGAATCTGACCGGCGATATTTCCGTGTTCTTTCTTTCTTTTCAAATGAAATAAATTGTTACTCCCAGCTAAGCCTTTAATAACCCTAAAGCTAAACGGCAAACTGTAGAGAGAGAACGAGAGTTTAGGCATTGTTGGCTTAAGGAGTTGTCTTCACTTCTTAGAACAGGATAAAACAACAACAACACAGAATAGCATATTTGGAAGGGATCTTGGAGATCGTCTCACACAGGACTCTCCGAACTTGGCAACGGTGAGACTTGTAGGCTTCAATGTGGCTGGCTGGGACGACACGAACTTGTCGCTGCGTATCAATACATATATTTTTACATCTCTATTGACAGCAAACAAGATAGGCCAGGGGTAGGCAACCTTGGCTCTTTTATGACTGGTGGACTTCAACTCCCAGAATTCCTGAGCCAGCCATGCTGAGGGGAAAGGGAGAGGTTTCCAAGCTGAGCCATACTGGCTCAGGAATTCTGGGAGTTGAAGTCCACGAGTCTTAAAGGGGGCCATAGTTCCCCCATGCTGGCTCAGCAATTCTGGGAGTTGAAGTCTGCAAGTCATGAGGGGGCCATAGTTCCCTCATGCTGGCTCAGGAATTCTGGGAGTTGAAGTCCACCAGTCATAAAGCGGCCTAGGCCTAGGCCAGAGGTAGGCAACCTTGGCTCTTTTATGACTGGTGGACTTCAACTCCCAGAATTCCTGAGCCAGCCATGCTGAGGTGAAAGGGAGAGGTTTCCAAGCTGAGCCATGCTGGCTCAGGAATTCTGGGAGTTGAAGTCCACCAGTCATGAGGGGGCCATAGTTCCCCCATGCTGGCTCAGGAATTCTGGGAGTTGAAGTCCACCAGTCATAAAGCGGCCTAGGCCTAGGCCAGAGGTAGGCAACCTTGGCTCTTTTATGACTGGTGGACTTCAACTCCCAGAATTCCTGAGCC